AATTACTCAAGCATATCTTATCAGCATTATAACAATACTGACTACTGCCTTACAATACTGTTAAATAACTGTTTTGATAACATACAAGCCAACAATTAACTATATTAACTTACTTCTTATACTAATACCAAATTATACTCTTAGTTTACAAAAACACAACTACTAGCCACTTTCTAATAATTACCCTTTTTATAACAGAACAACTCATCTCTTTACAAAGCACAACAATACAAACTTCACATTCTTCCTCATGCTCTTGATAATAACAACTTATATCTTATTTGAAATAGAACTTCAATAGAAAATAAAACTTATCATTTTATTCAACACCTACAAAATGCAACAAATTCTGCAAAATGGCATGTTCTAAACAGAACTAGTTATTGAATTATTATATGCCAAAATACTAATTGGGATTTAACACATTAATTTATTAATTATAACAACAAACCTAATATTTGCAATACTTATCTGAAGTATTCTTAACTAAAAAGCTTCAAAATCAAGTTTCTACTAAATAAGCTAGTCACACTTCTAAACATACATTATAAAAAACCTAAAACATATACTAATCCTACTTGCAATTGCTGTACATTAATATAGATAACAATTTACATTGGCTAAAATGCACAATAAACTCTATTTCTCTTAACTAGCTAATTTAACAAACTATATACAAGTTTAATATGAAGTACAAACTTGAAAGCAGCAATATATCTACTTTTTGTAGCAGGTTACTCAAACACAAAGTGACACACAACTTTTTTTCAAAATACAAGGCCTAATTCCTAACAACATGCTCACAGATTGCAACATTACTTCATGTTTATTTACCAATCTATTTTACAAAATATCAACCAATATATACAAACAAATATGAACAAAAAAATGTAAAGCAATGCATCAAAATAGCTTACCAACAAACACACTTACTGTTACAATATTTGAACATCAAGCTACAGATCAAATAGCTATAAGTAAATATAAAAAATAGGTAACTATTTTTCATATTACAAATATTTCTACTTTCTACATTTTAATACTAAACCTAAAAAAGATCTAATAGTTTATTCTAAAAGAGTTTTGAACTAAAAATAAATTAGTCCTAGCTATAGGTCACTGTAATAATTTATATAAAATATTTTAATTAATATAATACCAAATTGTTCAATAAAGACTGGGGTCAGGCCTTACTCTTAAAAAAAAAAAAAAAAAAAATCAAAAATTTGCTAAAGATTTAAAGCTTAGATCTAAAAAATTCAAAATTAAATCTTTATTCAAACTACTGATCTTGACCAAAAATATCTTACTATTTAACTATATGCTAGATTCAATATCAAGAACTTTTTTAATATTCCTAAACTTTGTTTTTTGAAAGATTCTGTATTTATTTTCTTAAAAATTCTCTGGATCACTTTAATTCTTGATTTGAAACCTACTATACTTCTTATAGTTAACAATTTTCTTCTATTATTAACAAAGAAAAGTCTAAACTTCTAACCAAATTCAATTTTATTAGCACTTTATTCTTCAACTCTTCAAGCATTTCTGTGAATCCTATATATTCAAAAAACCTAATTCACTTTATGAGCAATATGAGAATACATTTTGTGTTGCAAATTTTTATTGCCTCAGTTGTGACAACAAATAATGTCAATATCTCAATAATAAAAAATTTTATAACAGCACTAAACTTTTTAATAACATACTAAGCAAACTTGCTTATTATTTTCATTCAAAAAGAATGAAATATGGATTTATCCTACTCTTAATACTATACTATTTCACAAAACAAAAAACATACTAACTTACTTAACCAACCTATTTTTACTAAAGCTCTGGACAAGTTGGCTGACCAAACTAAAAAATTTGTCAGCAAACAAAACAAAATTAAAATAAATTCTAAATATTACAATTATTACTTTTATTATTATCTTTAATTATATTACAAAACTGTGACAAAAAATCACAATATACAGTTTCTCTTCAAGGAGAAAGCAATTAATCTATTAACAAAAATAATTATTAATACTAAATTCTTTGTTCAAATTATTACCTATTTTGATGTTGTCAAAAATCAAAAATCTACTTATTTACAAATTGTCAAATATTTCAATAATATTGTCTATCTAGCAACTAAGAAGTTTTTAGCAAAAAAATTTAATTTTGACTTCTAACTAGTCTTTATTCTTGATTTACTTTTCTTACAATCTTCTTTTTAAGTTCTTTGTTTTCTACAACTAATATTAAAGCAGACACCATTTTTTTAAAAGAAACAACTACTGTAGTTAATAAGAAAAATGAAATAAGAAAGTTAGATAAGAACTCTTTTTGCAAATCTATTGCATAAAAATTAACTAAAAAATTCATTCATTAAAAAACACTTATAACTATTTATTTTATATGATAACCTGTTTTAGGTTCTTAAGTAAACTTGTCCAGCTTATTATTTTATATATAAGCTGAAAATAATAAGTCTTTACACTTTAAACTCACTAAGAAAACTGTACTGACAGCCTTTGGTCTCTAGTTAAAAACTTTTAATTATCTTGCAGTTTTTACTGACTTAATCTGTTCTTTACTCATAAGTAAAGTTGTAATATACATTCACCTAGTCAAAACAAGCTCTAATTAAAAATTTTTGATCTAATATTAATTAAACTACAACTGAATTAATATTTATTCTCTTATTAAATATTTTTTTTACTTTTTGTCTCTACTCTATTCTTTTTTTTCCTTTACATAGTTTTCATATAACCATATAATTATTTCCTAATCTATATTCTATTAATTTATACCAATATTTTGTAACCTATCTATTAATAGTTACCAATTTATACAATTAATTATTTCTATATTTAGCTTTTACTATTATTATACAGTAATTTGCACTGCAAATCTTATCTGTATTCAGTACCCAAGTTACATCAGTAATCTTATCATTTTTGTTACACCTTAGTGTCATTCTAGTGACATCTTTAAACTACAATCTTTGTTCTCATATACAACCCTTGTAAAACTAATTATTTACAACTATAGTTTTTTTTTTAAAATATTTCTAAGTCTTTAAAAACTTTCTATTTAACTAGGCAATATTTTAAAATTCTTATCTAAACTTATCAAGAGCCTGATACTGCAAACCTTGACTATTTTTATCAAAACTTTTCTAACAGTTTTGGAATTGCTCTTTATAAAGAGAAAAATAGAAACAAGACCTATCCAATTCTTTCTAAAGTCTAACCAACTACCTGTTTAACCAAAAATCTTCAATCACATAAAATTACCTACTTTTCCAAGCTCCTCCTTCTACCTCTGTAATTACTTGTCTTTGTGGCAAATACTATACTAAATTCATCTCATCTACCAATACTACTTATACTCAAGCTACCAAATTTACTACTAACTATATTAACAGCAACTTTAAAAAACTTAACAAAACAAGTCAAGAACTCATAACTAACATCTTTTCCTCTAGTGACAGTGTTCTTCCATCTCCTACATCTGATATGCATTACTATACTTGTACTAAATACTTTGTTCCAATTAGTTGTATCAAGAGAAATAAGTATCACTTTTTTACTAAAAAATATATTACTAAAAATAATGAAGTTTATCATTCTACTTATATAACTACCTCATCTTAACATAAAGCTAGCTCATTTCAAACTAAGAAAATCTCACTTAAACTTTTCAAAATATCTTAAATGAATCCCTAACTATGAATCCTTTTACTATACCTTTATATCAAAATTCAACTTCTTCTAACCTTATTTATTCTTTTTTTACTACAACTACTCATACTAATCTTGCTTAAAACCAACTTTTTAATACTAACAATTCTAACAATATTAATTTCAACTTTAACAATTCCAACAACTTCAATCAATCTGATAAAATTGTTAACAAATCTCCTTTTCAAATCTACTTTAGTGTTCTTAAACAAAAATCCGATCTTATATATAACTGAGTTGTAAATTTTTCTATTACTGAAGAAAAGAAATCTAACAAAAAACTACAAATTTCATTTTCTTTTCAATTTTTTACCTTTTTTAAAAAATTTTTTTATAATTTTTATCTTGGTAAAAAAATTAAGCCAGCTACTGTTACCCAACCAGCACTCAAAGCCTTATTCTATTATATTATCTGTATTATGGCTAGGCAACAGCTTGAATTCTTAATGGATCTTATTTACAACTACAATTCTAATATCAATAAAAGTACTACCATTCTCTTTGACCTTCTTAAATTCATATTAAAAAACCTCATTTTTAAATTTATAACTATTCTTTTTATTAAACTCAATTATTTTGAAATTTTTGTTTTACTAATTACTATTCCTTTATACACAGCCCATAATAACTTTTAACTTTGTTTTAATCATGCACACCTACATTTTTTCTTATCTAATAACTACTAATTAATTAATTACCAAAAATTTGCTAAAGATTTACAGTTCAAATCTAAAAGATTCAAAATTGAATCTTTTATTCAAACTACTGATCTTAAACAAAAATATCTTACAATCCAATTAGATGCCAGATTTAATATTAAACTTTTCTTTAATATTTCTAAAACTTACTTTCTTGAATGATTTTGTATTCCTTTACTAAAAAACTCTCTTGACTATTTCAATTCTTGGTATGAAACCTACTGTTCTTCCTATAACTTTTCAAACATCTTTCTGAAACTTATATCTTTAAAAAACCTAACTTACTTCATGAGCAATGTGAAGAAGCATCTTGTGTTATTAACTTCTATTGTCTCACCTGTAACAACAAAAAATGCCAATACCTCAATAATAAAAAATTCTATGATAGTATCAAACTCTTTAATGACATCCTGTTACGATCAAAATCGGTTCTTTGAGCAAATTCGGGGCCTAGATTATATGGTGAGGGAATGATGATAGAGGAAAGTTATGTATAATATGTATCAAACAAATAAATAAGTATAGTAAGTAAATAAATAAGAGTCAAACTCGACAACCTTGCATTCGAAATATGGTTTCATGGTCACATGGATCGTGGATCGAATCATGGGAAACAATTAGTCAGAGTAATTATGATAAAAAATTAAAGATCAATTAAGCATCAATTAAGCCACATAATAAATATGCAATTAAGAGAAGTTAAATATCGTATGATCAATTTGTTACATAATAAATAAAAGAGTTAAATAGCATATGACAAAATTGTGATATAAAGGGAAATAGAGTCAAAAATATACATATATAAATAGAACGAAAAGACAATAAATGTTAGTGAGATGGGAACTTAAGTAAAAGTTGATAATAAAAATATATGCAATGTAAAAAACCTTACCTTTGTGCAGTCAAGTACTAGTTCTCCTAGTTGCTAAAAGATAGTAGTTGAATATGACAATGTCAGAAGAACCTGGGCAAAACCTATAAAACAGAAGAAGACACTAATGTCACTCCTGAGCAATCAGGACTACTAATTAATCAATAATTAAATAACGTTTGACTTAATCATATATATTTGAAAAAAAAACAAAAAAAAAAAAACAATAATCCACAAGTCACATAAAACACCCTAGTACCGGGACGTAAATAGGTACTGCGCAAGAAAAAAAAAAAAAAAAAAAAATCAAAAAGAGCAGGCAGTGTTAAGTGAAACGTCACATAAGGAAATTTAAATAATACTATAATTGATTACCTTATAGAAACCTATACAGACAACACTGATGGAAGAACTTGCACAATACCCTAGTTCAACCTACAACCTCCACAATCATGGGAGTATTTGATCCAACAAAACCCATCTATACTAGTCATGAGAACATTGAAGAATTTTTGATCTACTTTGAAGCCTATGCCACATTGAAAGACTGGGATAACAACAAAAAGAGCTTGGTAATTGTACTTCATATAGCAGACAGATTAAAACCATTGATAATACAGTTAAGAAGAAATAACCTAAATTGGAAGAACCTGAGAGAAGCCATGGTAAAGAAATGAAGAACTTCATCTGGCATCAATGAGAAGTTGGAGCGTTTAAAAAATATGATTCAAGAGTTAGAAGATACTGTCCAGATGTATACCAATTGCTTCGATGCGTATATTGCCAAAACACAGGATCAATTGAGAGACCTTGAGAAAAGAGAGTAGTACATTCAAGGTCTTTGAAGTCCATATAGAGAAAGAGTTGTTGATTCACGTCCAAATATATATAAGGATGCAAAAGAATTGGCAGTTAAGATAGAAAAATATGATCGTGATAGGGAATACATTAATAAGAGTCCAGTTCAGATTGTTGACGAAAAAGGGAATTGGGTAGTCGAAAGAGGAGCTGGGAAATTCTCAGTCATCCAAGAAGTGAGGAAGGTTGGTCACATTAGTGATTAGCACTTTCCAAATTCAGAAAGATTAGACCGAATGAAGGCAAGCATTATGGAGTTGTTGAAAGGCGTATGAACCCTCATAGAAAAGAGATATGACCTTCCTTGACATGGGTCTTTACCTTCAAATGCAGCACAAACCAAAGGAAATACGAATCTGAGAAAGAACTTGTCTCAAGGTGTTACGCATGCAATCAAGAGGGACACTTGTCACATAATTGCCCTAATCAGTCAAACAAGAATCAACCTGTAAATAGGTCAAACTTAGCCAGAAACGAACAGGTGAAGAGTCCAGACATAAGAGATGCCAATGTAAGGTTTTTTGAAGTCATGGAAAAGATGTTGAAGAAAGAAGATGAATACCTTATGATACATATAAATGATAAAGAAGCATTATTCGATATTAGGAGTCTTGGTAAAAGATGGCGTTCAAACATAGATGAAATAAAACCTGTGTCAAAAAAGAGGAAGAGTGAAGAATCAATAGAACCCATTAGCTTAAGTAATAATGAAGCTTCTGCTAAGGGATCAGTCATGTATATACCACTGACTAAGCTGAGTCAAGAAATTGACATCCTCAAGCTAATAGCTGAAAAAGAAATAGTTATCACATTGGGTCAACTGTTCAAATGGTCTCCCAAGGCCTGTAGTGAAGTACTCAAGGCGCTAACAAGGAAGAAGTGAGAGAACGAAGCCTTTTTATGAACATAAAGATCAGGATCATATGAGGAGTTTTTGAGAGTAATGAGTTAAAATTAGATGATGTACTGATGAGCATACCTAAAATCAATAGTGAAACAGTTTCAGCACCTATAGACCCAGGGTCACATTTAAACCTGATGCATGAAAGGTATGCTCAGAAACATGGCTTTTCCTGGCAACCAGCCACCAAAAAAGGACGTATAGCAAATGATTGGTTGAGTAAGTTTGTAGGGTGTATAAGAAATATTGAAGTGGATATGAAAGGTATTGTTGTGTATTAGGAGTTTTATGTCATGGAAGCTGCGAGTTTTGATGTGTTACTTGGCATGCCCTGGTTGGCTGTGTCCAAATGCAGTTTAAAATGGAAGGACAACAAACTTTGGTATAATGTTGAATCAAACTATCTTAGCTTAAATACAATATGCCTACTCTTAAAACTTCAGAACCAGACTCAGTCGATCTTGACTATTTCTATGAAAACTTTCCCAAAAGCTTTGGCATTGGAGTCTATGAA